CAGCATTCAGATTCTGTCTTTCTCCGAAAATTCAAGGTTGGCTAGATTGTCATTTTATTCACTGGGAACAAAACTATCTGTTTTGAAATCTCTGCATATTTCCTGAGGGAAAAAGGCCACATCATTCAAAATATCATAAAGCACAGTATGTTGACACTTAAATTCTCAAATTTTGACACTTGGATTATTTATTGGTAGTTTTATTTTCTCGACAATCTCCTTTACTTAAGGTCCACAATTCAAATAACGATAGCCGAAAGGGCCGTGAAAACGTATTCGTTTGTTTTCTCGATTAGGTAATTCTATATAGAGGAGAAAACTATGACAATTTGGATCTCGAGACACAGGTGGTTTGGGTAATTATTTAGTTAACCATATGTCAGCCCATATGCTAAAGTTTTTAAGTCTAAATAAACATTTCATAGGTCAGAATTCCCTCGAAGTTCGGGACAGTAAATTCAAATTATCCTAGTTTAAGCACCTCTGGCGCAGGAGTACACTTCTGATCGATGCAGCGGCCTTGGTTTTCCAGACAAAGTTGTGGAAGCCTTAAGATATTTCAAGCCTGGTCTTCCCACTGAGTTCGAAAACTCCAAAAGTATCCTCTGGCAACAAGAGTTATATTTATTTACCGAGCTGATATATTGAAGTACGGTAACTTTTTAACAGAGGGCGGGGGTGTGGAATTAAGCAGGCGTTTGCCGTTTCGGAAGGCAATGCTGACTGGCCTGCAAGCGGAGTTGGAGGAGAGTAGGGCGGCTGTGGAGGTTGCCTCGAAGCGTTTGGAGGAGGTTGAGGGTGAGAGGAGCGCTCCGCAAGGCCAGTTGGAGGATTCGACAGCAAGGTTAGCGCAAGCCGAGGAGCAGAGAGGCGCATTAGAAGAAGGCAGTAGGGGTGCAGAGGAGAGTGTGGAGCGTTTGAGCTGATATATTGAAGTACGCAAACTTTTCAACAGAGGGAAATGTGGAATGAAGCAGGTGTTTTTCGTCTTTTTCGCTTTAAATTATTCCCCAACGGTTTCATGCAAGATTCCATTCTGCTGGTTACAATTGCGAATATTAACATGGGCAGTCGGGCGTATCATTTGTCTCTTATCGTTGGCTTTTGGGAGACTGCATCTTCCATAATCGCCATGCCTTAACAACCTTCCAGTGTGTTCGACTGAGTATCCGTTAAGTCTTGCTGGGAGGGGTAGCTGCAGCCTTCTTCGGGAAAGATGGGAATCGTTTTACTGTATTTCTTTAGTCTGTGAGACCCGGATGTTTTTACTGCAGTGTACTTCTCTGTAAGCCTGCGAAGATAGTGCTCAAAAGGATTAATCTCCTAAAAAATCATAGACTGCTTTAGGTTCAAATGGACTTCAGTTCTTAAACGGTGGTTGTAAAAGAACTCCTGGTCAGTCATACTTAGGAAAAAACATTTAATTGAAAAGATACTACTTAACTGGCGCGAAAAGTAAAGAAAACAGCACAAACGACTGGAAAAAGTCGCACTTAAAAACTGTAGGTACCA